AGCAAAAGTTGATGTGCTAGCTGCACCAAAGGCTGGGGTACTACCAGCACCAAATGCATTTTGGGTTGATGCATCAAAGGGAGTGGATGAACCAAATGGATTGCTTCCAAAAGTAGTTTGAGTTTGTTGAAACACACTCCCAGATGAGTCAGATTGATTAGGCCTTGATGCAAACCCTCCAAAAGCAGGCTTCTGTCCAAATAAAGAAGATCCTACAAATATTTGACAATAACAAAAGTTTTTGATTGACATAACAAAAATTTTAGTCATAAGAAAATCAAGAGAAGGGCAGTCAAAATGCATAATCTAATAAATGAAAATGCATCATAACTACAAAGAAAGAAAAACACAACCATAAATTTTCCATGATAAAATTATGAAATCATAATCACACAAGCTCATACCATACACTCTCTCGAAAGTACAATGAGAACTGACAAAAAGGCAAATCAAAAACCAAAGATATACATCCAAACAACAATGCATCACACCATAAAGAGGCCTTCTTGTTTTTTTCTCATTTCTTTTTTTTCTAAAATAGCAAGAACTCAAATAGAAGCAATGCTGTGTTTCTTTCTCATGTCATTACAATTATTTAAATTATATTCCCTGGCAGTTTTTAGTCATACTTAATTCAGTAAATATGGCTAACAAATCACATTTTGTCTAATTCAAATTCAGGTCTACATATCCGTAGAGGTGATACAGTATGAGCTTGGCAACAAAAACTGTGGTGTATCCATGTATACAACTTCTCAATCATATTAAATGACCCAATAGCCGGTGAATATCCATAGTCCATACATTGAGAGCGATTATAGCCCTTATAAGGTATAATTCCACAACGCATCACTCCATAAATGCCTCAAAAAACTAAATCTGATTGAACAATGAGATCCCATGTTATATAAAGAATTAACATCTGAAAGTTGATTTTCTATTGTTTTAATTGTTAAGTTAATTCTATGTTGTTTTGGTTTATAACCATGATGATCATCACTACTTAAAACAAGAAAGTCATTTTAGGATGATAATGATGATGATGATCATAACAATAATAATGTCTAAAGATATGAACATTTTGGACAAAACATGCACATTTATTTCTTGCATCAAAATAAAAGAAGAACACACGCGCACACACACGCGCGCGCACACACACACACACACACACATATATATATAGAGAGAGAGAGATCTAACCTGTGAGAGATCTAACATGTGTAAAAGGCGGAAGCCGTCAAGAGTCAACATGACCCAAGATAAAGACGAATTTCACAAAAATAAACATTTAAAGGGGAAATTGCAGGGATTTCGTTTAAAAGGAGGAATTATAAAGATTTAGGTGGAGGATATCTAAAATTTTAGAGAGGGAAAATTGAAAAACATTCTAATATGAATTGAGTGGTGAATGCTGGCAATATGATCTCTTGAAAGCAAGTGTGCCCAATCCATACCAAAAATAAATAAATAACTCGTAATCTTTCATCAAGCCTTGAACTCCTTTATGTTTTCAATATAATTAAAGATGCTAGATGGCTAATTTTACAAAATCTGAGAAGGCTTGATCCCTGTGCCTATGCTGCAACTCCAATCCTATTTCAAGGACCAATGGCCACTTGGTCATCAACAAGCCATACCCTACTAATCTACCACATAAATTTTGCCCTACGACATGTAGCACTGCAAAAGCTGCATCCTACAAATGCATTCAGATGGAGCTTCCGTAGAGTAAACTTCATCTTGTCGTCTAAATAACAAGATGAATGTGCTTGCTTCTGATAATTTGGAACACTACCTTGTTTTCCAAAATAAAAGGCTCTGCAATCTCAACTTGCAGGTCGAAACTGAACCGGTGTTGTTATTTCCACGACCAAACTAAAGAACAAAGAATCAGTAAGTGATTGGCCAAACAACTAACACAGGCAACAAATAAACTTTAAAAGAAAAACAATGAATTATTCAAGTACTAACCACCAAAAGACAATAGAGAACTGCCAAAAGCAGGGGCCAGAGGAGCTCTCAAAGCAGCAGTTGAACTTCCAAAAGCAGGAGACGAAGTGGCACTAAATGCTGACATGGACCCTAAAGGTGAAGAATTTGCTCCAAATACACCGGTTGAAGTTCCACCAAAAACTGACGGTCCTGTAAAGGAACCAAAAGGAGTTAATACTCTAAAATCGAATGTTTTGGAATGAATAGATTATTACTACTTGAAGCATAGATAATTCTAAAAGTGAGTCGAACCCATATCAGATATGGATACTCTTCAGATACTCACGAATGCCTATCAGACACTTCCTAAAAGTATCCATTAACTTTAAGAAGTATTGGATACTTTTCGGACACTCAAGCTCACGTATCCAAACTACTCCAAAAACTATTATGAAATTGAGATTGCAATAATCTTTGCATATTATTAGAGTATAATAATTGTTAGAATAAACACAAGAATAGTTTCTCAACATTTTTCGTTTCTTACCAAACAAGAAAAATAGGAAGATTACCACCATATTCTTTAAAGAAAAAAAAAAAAACAACTTCAACACACATAACCGACATCAAATTCAAAATTTGTGTATCAAAATCCCAAAATTCAGCCACAAACGTTGAATAAACCAACATTATCTCAATAAGAACATTCCAATTAGATGCAAATACAAATGCATTAATTTGAATTGAATTGAATTTAAATAGGTTTTACTTATACAGAGATTTTGAAATACAGAGTAAGAACTTACGAGTAGTGGAACCGAACATCTTGAGAGAGTCTGGGAAAAAAAAGGAATCAAAGCGATTCAGAGACAGAGTCGAACAGATAACAAGAAACCCAGAAAGAGATTTGAGAATATGCTGCTGGAACAATGTCGTATTGGTTAATGTGAAATTTCTTATGTCCAGTTAGACTAGTTGTCGAAAGGCGGGTTCATTGTCATTATTTTAACTATTTGTTTATGCTATGAAAGGTATAACAGAGGATGATTTGGGAATGTGATCAATGACATTGCTGATTCTAGATACAATCAAAGAGAGATAGAGAAAGAGCCAATAGTTGGATTACAAATTTTGAACTTTTTCAGAGGAAAAAGCTGATAAAATAAAAATTAATATCAGATATTCATTCTTCAGTTCTGAAATCAAATTGGCACAGCTATTGGATATAGATGTTAATTTTCATTGAGAACTAAACTTAATATCAGATATTCAATAAGGGTTAGGGTTTTCAAATCAAAAGCCCTAATGTAAATGAAGTTTGGAGTTAGAAACAAACCTGAGCTACAGAAAATATCTCTTGGAAATATTCGATTAGAATGGAAGAAACTCTAGTTCTTGACGTCAAGAGAGTGAGAGGTTATGAAGAAAGATATCTACACTGAGAGAATGGTGGCCCCGACGCCGACGGGGCTGGTGGTCTTCGGCAATGGCTGAAGCTTCGGCTATGGTGGAAGAGAGGAGGGAGAAGGAGAGAAGAGCAAGAGCACGAGCCAGAGAGGGAGGCCAATGACTTCAGACTGTTGGACTACTCTGATACTTTGCTCTGTTTGGTAACCGGCTACACCGGTTGCCTAATTTGAGAGTCAAATTATTTAAATAACTTAGTTATGACCTGGTTATGATGTAATATGGTATAAATAAATAATTGAATATAACTAAGTTATGAGTTAATATGATAGTAGTTATAACTAATATGGTATTAGTTATGATATAAAATCATATAAGTTCATAACTAAATGTATGGTACATCTAAATGTACCATAGCATCACCCTTCATTCAGCACAGTGCAGAAGTTGATTTCGAAAAAGGGTTTAGTATCTCAAAAGAGTTGGCACCGTTTCCTCGGGTGTCACCAAAGGCAGCAATAATATACTAGATAGCGATCGTGCTGACATAGATGTTTGTTTTTCCCTTTCTTCTACATCTGGTATCTGATCATATAAAGTTCATGGAGATTTGATGAGCACTAGCTGAAACAAATTGAAACTGTAAATATGTGTATTTTTTCTCCTCTGGTTTGTGTGTGTAGTTTAAAGTTTTATTAATGTTTAGTGGAAGAGCAAGGCTTTCCTATGGTATGGTTAAAGATCCTCATTGCAATGGCTTTGGAGGAATGGATTAAAAAAACTGCCTTTTCTGTTAAATGGTGTTTACCAACTCACCACATGGGCATGCCAATCCTTTTCCGTGTACAGTTTTTTTGTGTTTTTTAGTAAAATTGGTTGGAGGGGAATAGGGAAGGAAAAGTTGCATAGTGCAGACTCGAAACCAGATATTTCGCCTTGTTTTGCTCAACTTTCGAAAATGAGAAAACTTTAGTTGGAAGTAAAATTATTTTTAATTTGTATGCTGATTGAGAAATTCACATTGTTTAATCTATATTTATCGATTCTTGAAAATTTACAAAAGAAGATAGACGAGAGAAAAAATTAATTTCTGATTCAATCATCAACAGCTGAAAAGAGGATGAACTGATTAAAAATAAAGAATGGGTCTTAGCCTCTACAGTTTTTAGTTAGTTACTTGTTAATTCATTCTGTACTTGCTAATGTACCCATACAATTAATTCAAAGGCTTCTTGTGCATTAGATTGAGCATTTTGTTTCTTGAAATTGTTAAACAGTTACATGCTGGAATAAACCAAAGTTAAAGACTGTCTATACTAATTACAAGCAATTGAACCAGTGGTGAATGAGTTGAGGTAGATTTGTTCATGAATTTACTCCAGTTGTTTCCACAGCTCTAAATTTTTTTGACAAAAATGTATAACAACCACAACATAGTCCTGTAAATTGATGATAATAAAATAAAATAAATAAAAATGTGCCTAAAAGACCTTAGATGCTGCAGTATCTTTCTGCAGAATACCACCTAGACATGTCTTAACATGGTCGGAATTCTGTTCACAAAGTTTATCAACCAGAGAATGGCAAATACATTCACAGAGCGTGTAACCCATACTAAACATATAATCCAACACAAGTATAGCCTCATCCAGCTTATCTCATTGTGATAGACATTGAATTAGTCTCTCAAAAGTTTGCTTTTGCGGTTTGAGGTTATGTCTCAACATTGCAGTCAACCATTCTATCCTCTCGGCAACATTCCCTTTATTGCTCAATCCAGTTATGATGAAATCATGAGTACATACTGCTGGTTCCACGCCCCTATTCTGCATATCCTCCCACAACTCTTTTGCTTCATCCACATCACCCATCTCACAAAGTTTTTCTATGAGGGCAGTATAAGTAGCAGCTGAAGGTTGCATACCCTTCTCTAAAAGTTCAGCCAAAAGATTTATACTTTCATCTATTTTCCCTTCCTTGCAGAAACCCTGAATCAAAGAATTGTACGTGATAATATCACGAGCAATTCCCTTCTCAGCCATTTCTTGAAACAACACATGAGCTTCCTCTGTTCTTCCATGCAAACACAGCCCTCTGATCATAATGTTGCAACTCACTGTGGTCTCTTTATAACCTTTACAACACATTTCATTGTACAGCTCCTTCGCCTCTTTGAGATTACCAATCCTACATAACCCATAAATGAATGCATTGTACGTGTATTCATTTGGAACTATTCCTTTGTGAACCATCTCAAACCAAAGCTTCCGAGCCTCCCCAATCCATTTCATTTTGCAAAAGACCATGTATCATCGTTGTATACATGACCCTATCCGGAGCATACCCTCTATCCTTTAAATCATTGAAAATCTGAAATCCTTCATGCCGCATTCTTCTCTTGCATAGCTCTCTGATAATTTCCTGATATGTAAAGATATCAGAGCGTCGGTTCTTTGCAATCATAGCATGAAGGAGAGCAGACACTCTCGAATAGTATCTATCCTTGCAAAATCCAGATATCAATTTATTAAAAGCAACATTACTGGGAACAAACCCATCTTCCAAAACTTGCCTAAGAAGCCCAAAGCCTTTCAAACCATTGTTATCAATACAAAAAGCTTGAATCAAATACTCAACTGTATCCACATCCCCTGCAACACCACTGCCCATCATCTCTCCATACAACTTCCAAACAACATCGGTTCGCCTAGCTCTAACCGAACCCAACAAAGCCGAATTCCATGTTTCTAACAACGGGCAAATACCAAGCTTTTGCAATTCATCAAACACCTTCAGTGCTTCCTCAATTGACCCATTTTCACACAGACATCTAACATAAGCCTCTAAAGAAGCGGGTTGAGGAGTAAAATCTACAGAAGTCAAAAACGATTTCGCAGCATTGGCAGCTTTAGCTTCTACAAGACTATCAAAAATCACATCACACGCCAATTTATCTGGTACAAAGCTACGTTGAGAGCTTAGCCAAAGATAGAAACGGAGAGAAAGAAACACATTGTTTTGCTACTTCCAAAGCTCAATAAAAAAGTTGGGATCGAAGTGATTGATTGAGGGAAAATCTGAGAGTAGAGTTTGTTCCCATCTGGGTCGAGTCCGAATGACCCTCGAAACCTCTTTGGCGATCTGGGTTAACCTCTGTGTCTTCGGCTGTTGATGGGTCTGAAAAAATTCTTCGCCGCCATTGCTGAGGCCGAGGTTTCGGATTTGAGGGTTAGGGTTTTGGATGGAGCGAGGGTTTTGGTGGCGGAGGAAGAGGGTTGTGAGAGATTGTGGAGGTCTTGCCATTCACTGTGGTGAGAGATGATTGTTATTAGGATATGAAAATGGACGGTTTTGAGTATATATACAGAAGGAAGCTCCAATCTTGTTCAAAAAAGGAAAAGGAAAAATGCATGGTATGGAAGCTCCGATCGAGTGATGAGGAATGAGAATGGATCGGATCGGAGCGGAACGATGAGCAAACGCTCGAATTCACTGCTTCAGATTGCTAAATCGTTAATTTTCTTATTTGGAGTTGAAAGATGGGTGATGAGGTTGATTTCAGTTGATTTTTACTTTTAGATTATTGTTAAATTATTTACTTTTAGATTATTGTTAAATTATTTATATAATGGGTAAATTACGCTCACCTCCCCTGAGATTTTTAACAAATACAGGGATCTCTCCTGTAATTTTAATAATTACAGTAACTTCCCTTACTTTACCTGACATTGTACAAATTCTCCCAATCCGTCAATTATACACAAACGACATTACTTTTGTATACAAAATGACTATATTACCCTTTTATTTAAGCGTAAAAAGACGAAAATATCCTTTGATTGTAGTATTCAACTTTTATTTTTATTTTTATTTTTATTTTTATTTTTATTTTTTATTCTCTCTTATCTCATCAGATCGAAACACTAGAGAGAGAGAGAGAGAGAGTGAAACTTGCAGATGCCGCTCCTTTCGTTGTTTGTCTTCTTTCTTCCGTCGCCACCATCTTTCCTTCTCCTTCTTTTTTGCCGTTCACCGTCCGCTGCCCGCTTTTCCTCTCCTCTTCATCTTCTTCGTCTTTTTCTGAAACCCTAGCCCTAGATCTATGGTTTTGAGAGCGGTGGTGGACGATGATGGCAGAAGATCCATCAATGATTTCATAGAAGCAGAGAAATTGTGTATTTGTATCTTTTTTTGCTAATTTAGTGTAAGAAAGTTGAAAATTTTGCTTTAGATCATCTGGGTGTAGATTCCAAACACCACTAATTAGTGTAAGAAAGTTCAAATTTTTGCTTTAGATTAGTTAATGTAGATTTAAAATGTGCTCTGTAATGTTTGATTTTTGAAATCCAAACAGACAGTGAAATATATATATATATATATATATATATAAATATATGTTGGGTTTCAATTCTTTGCTAAAAATTCAAACAAGTGTATATGTATATATATAAAATATATGTATTTATATAAACATACATCTGGTAGACAAATTGTTCCTATGTTTATATATTTGTGTATATATATATATATATATATCTGTTAGAAGAAAAAAAAATTATTCCCATGTTTGAATGTGTGTATATATACGTATATTTGTTAAACAAATTTAGAAATTAATTTAATTGGATTTTATTTTCTTTGCTAGAAATCAAAATATATTTTCATGGGTTTCAATTCTTTGCTGAAAATCTAAACAAGTGTATATGTATATATATATAAACATACTTTTGGTAAACAAATTGTTCCCATGTTTATATATTTGTATATATATACATATATATGTCAATATATTTGTATGTATATATACATGTTAGAAGAAAAAAAAAATTTTCCCATGTTTGAATGTGTGTATATATACATATATCTGTTAAACAAATTTAGAAATTAATTTAATTGGATTTTATTTTCTTTGCTAGAAATCAAAATATATTTTCATGGGTTTCAATTCTTTGCTGAAAATCTAAACAAGTGTATATGTATATATATATAAACATACTTTTGGTAAACAAATTGTTCCCATTTTTATATATTTGTATATATATACATATATATGTCAATATATTTGTATGTATATATACCTGTTAGAAGAAAAAAAAAATTCTTCACATGTTTGAATGTGTTTATATATATACATATATCTGTTAAACAAATTTAGAAATTAATTTAATTGGATTTTATTTTCTTTGCTATAAATCAAAATATGTCTTCATGTGTTTATATATATGTATCTGTTCTGTGACTGTTCTTTGCTAGAACTGTGGATGTTCTTCTTTATATGAAAACATAATTAAGTATCTGTTCATGTGTAATAAAGTTGTTCTTTAGATAAAGTTCCTATGTGGTTTCAAAAATGTTTTCATGGGTTTAAACAAAATTCCTTGTGGTTTTCTTTAGATAAAGGTCTTCTTTAGATAAATTACACAAACGACAGTACATATTTCATCACTCTCTGGTTTTCTCAACAAGATACTTGAGGGCATTATAGACATTTCAACATATATCTTTAATGACATCAGCAGTTTCTGTTAGTTTTGTCAATGAAAGTAAAAAAATGGGGCAATCTGTACAATGTCAAGTAAGGTAGGGGATGTTACTGTAATTATTTAAACTACAAGGGAGGTCCTTGTATTTGTCAGAAACCTCAGGGGAGATAAATGTAATTTGCCCTTATATAATTCATAAATATAAGATATTTAAAATATTTTATTTTGTATATTTAAAATGGTATCAAAACATTTTCTCAACTTCAACCTAGTTTCTCCCGACATTCTAATACAATTTATTTATGTTTTTTTTTTAAAAAAAAATTTTATTCATGGATTTGAAACTATTGCTTTATTAGTGCATTTCAGTCATAAGCCCCTAAATTTAATTTTAAAATTTTTAGAATAATAATCTTAAGTCCCAATATTTTGAGATCATAAGAATAATGAAAATTTAAAATCTCATATTACTTTTACATATCTATTCATATGTTATCGACTTGTCTACTTAATTAATATATTTGTCTATATTATTACCACCACCAGTCACCAGTCACGGCTAGCCACTCTAATGAAATTTTTGACAGCAACAATTTTTAGATGATCGTCAAATGGGCAATCCGATGGTGATGGGTACAAATTGAAAAAATTATCTTTCAAAACAATAATTTATTATTTATAACCAAATAATTTCATTAAATATATATTTCCAATCAAAACAAAACAATCCTTTGACCTAATCTCAAACCGGTGGTTACATGCACTAATTAGACTAATTAGTGTATTAATATTATTATTGATTCCTGTTTATTAATTACATTACAAATATAAAAAATCTCTTAAATTATATTACAATATCAATTAATACACTAATTAATATATTAATTGATGCATGTAGTATTATTCAATCTCAAACACCTCTAAAAATAAATTTCTCCAACTATTTTCCCTTTTTTATATATTTAAAATACTTTATTATCAAACAAAAAATACTAATTTTAATTTGCTAGAAGCTATACATATTAAGATGCTACCGCGGTGAGACCGTCAATCCATATCAAATGGTTACAGAAATTTTATGATCTGAGTTGGGCCCATCACATATCTCCTGCGAGTCCCACATATATATATGTGGTGTACGTACGGACCCTAGCCAGGGCTAAACCAACCGCACCGGAGGAGAGAGAAGATCGAACCCTGACGGAGTCGATAGCGACTCACTCTGCACATGAGAGAGAGAGAGAGAGAGAGAGAGAGAGAGAGAGAGAGGAAGAGGAGATGAGTTGTTCTGTGTAGTCTAATGGATTCGCACAATTCGATCACGATTATCACCTGTTATCTATGATTCTCTGCTTCGTCAATCGAAATCACTCAAATTTCGCAAACAAAAAGATGCTGAATTGATCGTCCCCGCCACAATGAACCCATTCTCGGCCACAATGCATGTGATTTGTAGCCCTAGAACTGGCTCAGACACTTCAATTTCAGCTTGAACCACCTTATACATGCTCTTTGCTTGCTGTTTCGGCACAAAACCCTAACTGAGTCTCTGGACCGATATGCGAAGGTAAAACCCTAACACCTTTTCTATATATATGTGGTGTACGTACGGACCCTAGCCAGGGCTAAACCAACCGCACCGGAGGAGAGAGAAGATCGAACCCTGACGGAGTCGATAGCGACTCACTCTGCACATGAGAGAGAGAGAGAGAGAGAGAGAGAGAGAGAGAGAGGAAGAGGAGATGAGTTGTTCTGTGTAGTCTAATGGATTCGCACAATTCGACCACGATTATCACCTGTTATCTATGATTCTCTGCTTCGTCAATCGAAATCACTCAAATTTCGCAAACAAAAAGATGCTGAATTGATCGTCCCCGCCACAATGAACCCATTCTCGGCCACAATGCATGTGATTTGTAGCCCTAGAACTGGCTCAGACACTTCAATTTCAGCTTGAACCACCTTATACATGCTCTTTGCTTGCTGTTTCGGCACAAAACCCTAACCGAGTCTCTGGACCGATATGCGAAGGTAAAACCCTAACACCTTTTCTGTTTTTCTCACTCATTGTACTGTTTTCAGGGTGAATTTTGTCTTTCTGATGGTTTTAATTGGGTATAGTTTTTGCTGTTGATTGAATGATCTCATGTTCTATGTGTATTTGTTCTTTGCCTAATTGAAATTGTTGATTAATAAAAAAAGTTGATGTTTTTTGAAATAACATTTGTGTTGAATTTGATTGGTTATCTGTTTCATGCTTGGGCTCATTTGGAATTTGGCTTCTTTAGTGGCTTTTTGGATTTTTATGGAAAAGACGGGCAAAAAAACGGAGACAATGGTTTGACAACATGCAGTGATTTTTTTCACTAAAATGTTTGGTTCCAAAACATTAATTTCGGTATGGCTGAATTATAATAATTATTTTTCTGGTTATTTATATGCTGTTATGTTATGCTTATAGCTCATGTACTGAAATGAATAAAATTGCGTGAGTGCCTCGTGACTTTAAGACCAAAACTCTTACATGCAGGAGTCATAGAGATGTGGAACAATAAATCAGTTGCTGATTTTGGCTATTACACTAAAAAGTTACTAATTTTTTTAGCAAGGGAGAATCATGCAAATTGAGTCTTAAGATTTTTGATGGGATAATTTGTTTCGATTGATCTATTAGTGTCAAGTTTGGTATGAGGCCTTTCATTTCATTATTTTATGTAATTATGTTGGAAATATAACATCGTGACTTGTGTTTCAACATTTTGGGCATTGGTTAGTTAATCAAAAAGTGTTGTTCAAGTGCTTATACAAGTTAGTAACTAAAGTTTTGTTCAATCTCGTGACAAGACTTGATGCAAGCTTTTGGATATGTTTTGAACAAGCACTAAGTACGTATGATGTATGAAAATCAGGGAAATTACTGATTTAATGAAGCACAAAAACCAAAAACTTTTACACTTGAAATTTTTCATAGGGTCAAGAACACAAAAAGATTGGGCTGCTGTTCTATAAGAAGGTTGGGCTTAAGAGCTGCAAGATAAGTTTTATGTCTAACCACACTTGCTACACTTTGCATTAGTTGGACCTGCAGTTGAAAATTGCCATGTAATGAAAAACACAAATAGATTGCAAAGATAATCTATAAACATTAAAAAAAACATGGTAATGGAAACCCTTCCTTTATTAATGCATATTTGAATTTTTTTTGGATTTACTTGAGGGTGTCTTTTCAACTGTTTGCTGACCACTCACAAATTGTGTGCACCAGTGAGTCTAGGGATAGATCTAGCAAGGTAAGTCCAGGTTTATCTCGAGATGTCTGGTTTTTGGACCATCTTGGCCAACTCACTTACATTTGTGGGCTTGTGCACCTTCTAATATTAACCACAAGTTAAAGAGGTACTCCATGTAAGCTCACTGGCATTAATTGAAGCTTGTAGGCCTTTATAGAACTTTTAGAGCAACCTTGTTAGTTCAGGAACCTGATTGGTGATCCCCAAAAATCTCACATGCTGTGCGTGAAGTTCTTTGACATGTGAATGACATATATGGAATCTCGTCTCATAACATTTTACATCTTCTTCTTAGTATGTTTCAAACTTCTCATGTGTTTGCTCAACTCAACAAGCCATTGTCCTAATTAGTTGAAATCAACTACATGGATCCAATTCCTTCAGTTGGCTCTACTAAAAGCCATATTTCAGTTTACTCCAAGAAGTTTCTTAACTTTTCATTATAAGTTACCAATCATTTACAGTAAGTTATTAATCATTAGTGTCAACAAAATTTTGATGTTCCCTCGAATGCAGGTTCACTTCTGATTAATTTCAAATGATACCAACCTAAATCTATTGAGGTTCTCCATGATCATTGTTGAGTTTCTATTAATAGTAGTATTTTTTTGTAAGCTTGTTTAAATGCCAAGGTCCTCATCCATGGATGTGTTTTCTTTTACAATTAGATTTTTAACATTAAATATCATTGAATCCATATGATGTTTGACTGAAATATCTGGGTTGTCCAAATTAGAAGAAATTAAAGAGATTTTTTTTTTTAAATTAGAGAGAGGTGAATATTGGAACTTATGCTAGTGAAGCTGTTATATATATATATATTTATATATTTGTTTTTTTTTATATATATATATATTTGTTTTTCTTTAATTTCATGCAAATAGTGAGTTCCAAAAATTTAAGCTAAGGAGCACAGAGAATTTGACTTGAGTCCAAATTCTTATTACACAAGGAGATGGGTCCATTTGCATGAGGATGCGAGGGTATAAAGAACAATAGGGTTTGCGAGGTATAAAGAAGGGGAGTTTGTAACGAGCTAATCTCGGTCTTCTGATTAATTATAGACCTCTCACAAGGATGTGAGGGTATAAAGAAAGGGGATGTGGATATGCAAGGCACCACTAGCTTGCTACCAAGTAATTTAGGCTTAAGCATTTTTGGTCATGTTGGCAGACCTACTTTCTTCAGGTTACTGGGGGCATGACAGGTAACCTACGTCATTGGGGCAGAATGGTTCAGAGTAGTGCATTTTTACTTAGTCAGATCACTGGACAGCTAACAAGCTTAATAACTTTTGTCGAGTTTTTGGGTGGAGGATTTATTTTGGGTCTATGCTTGAGCTCGATTGTCAATATGTGCTTAATAAGGATGTAAGATGCCCTTGAACGTGTCATTGGGTGACTCATGAATCAAATGATTTCTCTTTTCTCCTAAAATTTTCATGGTTGACTTTGAGTGTTTGAAATTATGAAATTTAATTTTTAAGTTATGACACGTTCAAGTTGCCTGACACAATTCAAGTGGTGTACAAGAAGTTGCGGTTTTGTAGGACATGGTACCTTTCTAGGAGTGTTTTTGCTAATTGGATTATTATCTGAATTAGATATGTTTTTTCTTTTCTTTTATTCTTTATTTATTTTTCAATAAGTGCAATACTGAAAGTTTTCATATCAGTCTGGTTCTGTCCTCTTTTCTTTTATATTCTTTTTGTTTTTACTTATTTTTTGGTGTGTGCATGCCAATTTGCAGTCCTGCCATCCTGTGTAGTGTATGCATAATGTATTCATTATCTTATTTGTGTTACGGATTGTAATAGTTATGTTGTATTTATTGCTTACAATCTCTTATGCTAATATTAATTTTGAGAAGAGTTTTACAAACTGGTATGTTGGGTATTGTTTTCAAATTGTTGTAATTCATAGTTGTTAACCCCCTTTGTTTACTTTATTATTTATTTATTTTTTCAATATTTGGACATTTATTTGTTGTTCTTTGTTATCTTTTGGTGTGGGGTTCAGATACTGATATGAATAGAGAAGAGCTTGGGAATGTCATGAATGTGAGAGTCAAACCAGCAGGTGGATTCGTTGTGAAAAATAATGGCCATAGAGAGGATGAAGGAGAGTCCAAGCTTGAACCACATGTGGGGTTAGAGTTTGATTCAGCAGAAGAGGCACAGGAGTTTTATAATTTATATGCAGCACAAGCAGGGTTCAGAATTAGGATTGGTCAGTTGTACAGGTCTAGAGTTGACGGAGCGGTTATTTCTCGAAGATTTGTGTGCTCAAAGGAGGGTTTTCAAACCAACTCTAGAACAGGTTGTCCAGCATTCATAAGGGTACAAAAAAGTGATTCTGGGAAGTGGGTTCTGGCCAATATCAAGAAAGAGCACAATCATGAGCTCGGACTTCCAGGGGAAATTCGTCCACCCCATATACAAAGGAAAGTCCTTCCAGCTCCAAAATCGCCAATTGTAGTGTCCTCCAGGACAGGAATAAGATCACTTGAGGAGGAGGATGGACACCCAAGCCCATCAGGTGTCATTGATGTCAAACGCCTTAAGAGGGAAGAAACGGAAGGAATACCACACAAAGTAGAACCATACAAAGGTCTTGAATTCGGTTCTGCTAATGAAGCATACAAATTTTACTATGCATATGCAGCTGGTACAGGGTTCAAAGTCCGGATTGGTCAGTTGTTTCGTTCAAAACATGATGGATCAATTACATCTCGAAGATTTGTGTGCTCAAAGGAAGGGCATCAGCACCCTTCAAGAGTAGGTTGTGGTGCATTCATGAGGATACAGAGGCAAGAATCAGGAAGATGGGTAGTTGATCGTCTTCAAAAAGAACACAATCATGATCTTGATTCTCCGATGGATGCTAGTAGACTAATTAGTGCTGCTCCGAAGGGATTTAGAGATGAAGTAAGTAGTGGATTGGAAAACTTGGATTTAGTTGAAACAAATGGTGGCATAAACCTTGTCAAAAGAGGCCGTCAAAGTAATGTTGGAAGCGATTGGTATCCTGTGCTTCTTGATTATTTTCAGTCTCGTCAAGCAGAAGATACAGGGTTCTTCTATGCTGTAGAAGTTGATGATGGCAAATGCATGAGCCTTTTTTGGGCTGATGGCCGGTCTAGGTTTTCATGCAGTCAATTTGGGGATGCCATTGTTTTTGATACAGCATACAGGAGCAGTAGTTATTTGGTGCCGTTTGCTTCATTTATTGGAATTAACCACCATAGGCAACCAATGCTTCTTGGGTGTGCTTTGATTGCCGATGAATCAGAGGAATCTTTTACTTGGGTGTTTCAAACATGGCTTAGGGCAATGTCCAGGCGCTGTCCTTTGTCGATAATAGCTGATCAAGATAAGGCCATCCAACATTCAATTGCACAAGTTTTTCCTGGAACGCATCATCGTTTTTCTACATGGCAAATTAAAGCGAAGGAACAGCAGTATTTGGGTGCACTGCTTTCCATAAATACCGAGTTCAAATATGAATACGAGACTTGCATTTGTCAGAGTCAGGCACCTAGTGAATTTGATTCTGCATGGAACGTACTTCTTAACAAATATGACTTGAAGGAGAATGCTTGGTTGAAAGAAATGTACAGAACGCGCAAAAGTTGGGTTCCATTGTATATAAGGGGTACGTTCTTTGCAGGGATCCCTATGGATGGAAGCATGAAATCATTTTTTGGTACGTTTCTGAGTGCCCAAACTCCCCTTAACGAATTTGTTTTACGATATGAAAAAGCTCTTGAGCAACGTCGTGAGGAGGAAAAAAAGGAGGATTTTAACTCATTTAACATGCAATCTGTTTTGCACACAAAAGACCCCATAGAAGAACAAGGTAGAAGGCTTTACACAATCACAATGTTCAAAGCATTCCAGAAAGAGCTTTTGGAATGCTACAGTTATGTTGGAATAAAGATCAATGTGGAAGGTGCTATTAGTAGATATTTGGTGCAGACGTGTGGGAATGGGGAGGCAAGGAATACTGTTGCCTTCAATGCATCGAACCTTAATGTTAGTTGTAGTTGTAAAATGTTTGAATTTGAAGGTGTGCTTTGTAGACATGCGTTAAAAGTATTCCAAATAATGAACATAAGGGAACTTCCATCTCGCTACATCTTGCACCGGTGGACAAAAAGTGCCAAGTATGGTATTCTACGGGATGTTGATTCAGGAGGTGGCTCTCAAGATTTCAGGCCCTTGATGCTGTGGAGTTTAAGAGAAGAAGCTCGTAACTTTATCGAGTCGGGGGCTGCATCTCTAGAAAGATACAAACTTGCTTTTGAGATTATGCAAGAGGGTAGAAGAAATCTTTGTTGGCCAAACTGAGAAGTATCCTGGACAAAGGTCAGTCGTCTTCTTTTTTCTCTTTTATTTCTTGAAACTGAGGTCAGACATCTCTTTGATGCTGAATTCTGTAGTCTGAACTGCATGGGTAGCTAGTTCTCTGGTGTGTCTTGGCCATATAATTAGAGGTCAGTGACTTGCTATGGATCCTAATAATTTATAGTTCGAAAGAGAGTTATTTATTGAATTTTCAATTTATATTGTTATGGATTTTGATCTCAAATCTGCACTTGGATTGGAAGGGGTTTCCTTTGTGCAGATGCAATTCTTGAAAATAGGCCCTACGGAATTCTTGGTTGACCCCATAGTTTTTGGCCTAATTTTGTGTGCCAGGAAGGCATGGGGGGCCAATCATTCAAATCTTGTGCTTGAATTATTTCAAAATCTAATTGTCACTCATATTGTAGTGTTCCTTTGAGATCAGCTCGTACATTGATATATGAGGTATTGGCCATGCACTCTATCTCCCGAGTTTGGATGTAGAGAGTGAGTGGAAAAGAGATTTTCTTCATTCCTTATACTGTCATGTAGAGAAAATGAACAAAATTATTCATATTTGCTGGTAATAAATGAAGGCTATGCAGGTGGTTGGAGTGGGTGGCTTTACGAGATATTGGTTTTTTGGTCCCTTAATGTCTCATTGTTATGGCAAATAATGTTCAAAGTGAACTAGTGAAAATTTCCCTTTCTTTCGTTGTTTCATAATTTCATTACCTTAGGTTGTGTTTGGATCTTGGATTTGTGGAAGGAAGAAATACAGGAAAACTAATTTTTTTCCCCCAACCTTGGCCCCTCTTTTCTGTTTCCTCCACAATTCTAAGATCTGAACACTGTATAAATTGTCAAGTTGAAGGAATGTATGAATAATAGAATATCGATTGATGGAAATTTTTTTTCCCAACATTCTCTTTTTCTTTATAGTTTGCTTTGTGCAGTTTAATGAATATATCATCTTTAATTAAACATTTTCTTCTATATTTTCTAGGCAACCAAAGATAGCAGAATGACAGAGTTTATGATGTTTGACTGGTGGTGACTGTTTGAGGTCTCATGCTCAGACTGGTAACCTGGATTTTGTGTTTGCTACTCATTTTGAAAGCAGAAGAATATGTAGTATACACAGAATCAGCTATCTTTTTTTGTCATTGTGTTCTTGATCCTGTTTTGTTTGAAAGATTGACTGGAATTCTCTCATGTTCATTGGTTGTTAAATTGGTGGTTATATTTCTTCAGCATATGAAAACAAAAAAGGAAATTGATTTCAAGTTTAGGGCACCAAATTCTATTGGATTGAATCTCGGGCCAGTAGGATAATTGTGCATAGATGATTTTTACGTGCTTCTGGATCTAAAAAATGGTGGGCGGTGTTTGTCAAACCCAGAAAAAAGAAATGGAAGTAGATTTATGAGCATAATCACCCCTTTTCCTACTTGAAGCCATATTTATGATTTAGGAGTTCTAAGATAATTAAACATACTGTTATTTTGTTAGCAAAAATTTTTCTTTTTGAAGTCATTATTCTTCAAGATTATATACACTGACCGATGCTTTTTTCCCCTTCTTGCCACCTGGTGAGTAACTTTTATGCTTACTAGTTTGCGCGATCTATAAGATAAATAAAAGTAGAGGAGAAACGGTATGAATTGTTTTTGAAAAATATTTCAAAGATTTTTTTTAGGAAAATGCTATAGATCTTAAATTTTTTACCAAATAAATGACCAAATGTTTTACATTCGTGTTGGGTTCACAAAATTGCGAACTCACACTCATGTGAGACATTTGGTTATTAGTTTGGTAGAAAATTTGGTATCCCTAGCATTATCTTCTTTTTTTTTTAAACAACCAATTTCTTTAAAGAAAACCAAAAATGAAAACGCAATCAAAGAAATTTCACTCTACAAATTAAAAATTCAGACAACATAGCTCGAGTACATGAAGAGAAATTGAAACTTCTGCGGATCAATTAGAAAAACACTCCTGCCATTGCATTGCTTATGGAAACCATAGTGTAGAAATATGGAAACATGTAGAAGTAAGTGCATTTAATTTTGCCAAGAAACTCATTTTTTGTTTTTTGACCATAAATGCTGTGAAAGTTTTGGGCGCAAGATGGGGCAATTGGATGTAATCTTATATTTCTAGAGTTGCTTTGTGTCTATGTTGATTTAATCATGGGAGTGTAGCCACCTTAAACTTTGGAAATCATGCACATATGCTTCTGTAATCAATGGTCTTCAAATGAGCCATTGATCGGAACTATCCGTTGGCTAAAACCCTTGCTTCTTCATAGAAAGTAAGGGATTCGAATCTCCTTAAAGTTTAATCTTGTATTTGTTCGGAATTTCTCTTTATTTGTGATTATAATTTCTTATATGGAAAAACCATTCTGGAAAATTGGTCAATAATTTTGATAATTACATTCATATTATTGTGTAAACATTTCAATTAAAAATATTTAAGAGCATTGCCTCTTTGGCTCAAAAAAAGAAATAGGAAAAAAAGGACAGACTCAGTTTTACTCCATTTCTGGAATAAATTTGCCAAAGCACATTCATTTATTTGTAGCAACATCAGCAGCTAAAACATAGGACCTTCAATAATGACGCAACCCACACAAATATGTAATCACGGATCTGTTTGGGTCAATGGTACTAATGACATTCGATAAATTTTTTCAAATACTACATTATATAACTGCCATGGAAGTTGGCATTGCTAGCAGTTGCATCACAAAATAACACCACACAATAAGGTGCAAACCTCACAAAATGGTCAAGCCACAAGTACAACTTGAGCATTTTTTGAAGCATAGTGAACCCATCAAAGATTGGCAAACTCACTTTTGGAAGCCCATCCACAAGAAAAATGACAAGAAACCAGTTAAAATGGTAAACAACCATCATTTTGTGGTTTGACAAATTCAATCCATAGCATGAACAGCAATACAGAAGCATGCCATCATCAACCAAAGCTAACATATTCACCACCAGAAAGTGTGACACAGACACAAGGTGATAGAACTATAGACATCAGTCTTGGAACTGGACATCCAGCCTCTATCTCTTTGCCTTTGACAAATATGCTTCAGCCTTGGCTTTACATGCTTCAGTCCATGCTTGGGGAGCCCTAGAAAAAAAACACTTCCATTCAGGAAACCAAATGCAAAAAGAACTTTCAAAATGATTAAGGTAAGTGGCAAAAATTTGTGTTATGCTTGCTTACTTACATACCACTATGATCAGATCATTTCGACAAATATACAAGCGTAAATATAATGAAAAGTTCAAATGAAGTCATAGCAAAATGTGAGTGATTTTTATTCAAGAAACAGAGGGAAGATGAGTACAAATATTCACAATTTTGCATAAAAAATAAAATAATATATATGGTCATTGGCTTGTTGAAGCTGAACAAACAAGGCAGTAGGAAAAACCAAAGTGAAGGGGAAAGATATAAAGGAAATATGAAAAGAGGAAGCCTAATACACTCACTGGAGACTATCAATCACTTGGTACAGAGCATCTTTACAACAAGAAACTATGGCCACAAGGCAGCAGAAAACTCCACCTCATATAGTTTGAGGAACTAAGAAAGACAGGCCCTTGCAAAATTTTACCTTACAGCAGTATGTTGAGATATTGTGCACTAGCCTTGCGCTTCTGTAGTTTGCAAAAGTTTTTAAAGTAACCATATCCTGACCAACTGAATCGTGTATATATATAATTTGGTGTTAGAAAGAAAATTATGAGATGGAAAGAAAGACCAACAAAATGAAGATGATAAACTCAAATCATCTTCAAAATCTAACCAACTACACCATGTGGTTGACAGATTCACTTGCAGTTGGCCAAAAACGAAAAAAATAAAATAAAAATATGGGCATGGTGAAAAATGATTCATGTAGCTAACCACACTAGATTGAGATTTGGGACACAACACTTTGTTTGGTTTGGCCTTGAATTGTGTCAATTTTACCTTATTTTGTTTATCTGGCTCTCTCTATCTGACAATCGAAGCAAGCACACCAACCACGGGAATTTGAACCTAGCCACTTGAATCCATTTAAGCAAAAATTCTATGTTAACAATATAAACTCACACTATTCTACTTAACATCAATAAAAAAGAGACAACAATGCAGCAAAATAGACATATAAAAGTAAAATTGAATGACAAAAGACAGTTTAGTTCAATCATTCATGTTGCCCATCCAGTAGTAATCTTGTATGCGATGCTTGGCATTGGCTGCATTGGCTCTTGATCATATTGCTGCAATTGGGTGAAGCAAGGCTCTCAACATAAGTTCCGACACCAAAATGATTTAGCCTACCTCGAACCACTAGTTCCTTAGATTCCTTCTCCTGCGGATTGTAGAAGACTAGCTTATTTGCGTGCATATCCAACAAAAATTCGCCTGTGGTTGATAAACACAACGGCCTCCAAAAGAAAAATCACTAAAATCGATTGTAATTTCAGTCCAAGAATCCCTCACACCGTAATCTTTCATCACCCAAACATCTTTACGATCATCATCATGAGAAACAAGCAAATATAGGCACCCTTGAACAACACAAAGCTCGGGATATAGGTTCAATTCATTATCAGAAGAACAAGGAGATGGCAAATGCAGAAATTTTTTGTCTCATAAATCAAGTAAAGCAATTACATCCGCCTTATTTGAATGCACGCGACTACTCACTAACCAGTGGAGAGCCCCGCTAATTAGAATCCCCGGTGAAGACCCATAAGCAAATAACTACAATCCTTAATCCTTCTCCATGAATTGGTTCTCAGATTATACACAGTGACTATATTATCAACAATATTGCAATCATATTCATAATCAATAATCCTCACAACTTTGTAATCATAATCAAACCCATAACTATCTAAACAATATTTATACTCGATTGAAAAAGGAGATTCGGGTAATTTTCTAGATTGTCCAGTAGATGGGTTCACCAAAAAGTAAGAGTTATAGCGATTGAGCATCAATAACAAGCCATCACAGGAACCAGAAATCTCCCTACAATTAGGGTTTTGGTTTGGGGGAATTTGAGGCCAACGGCCACGAAATTGTCGCGGGAATGGAATGATTTGAAATCCACGGATTGGGAGATGCAGGATCTAAAAACGAGAATGAATCGCTTGTGTTCGTTTTCGTCGTTGGTGTTGCGAGTGAGTTTGAGGTGGGTTTTGATGAAATGACGATTGGAGAAGAGAGAGCCATGGCTTCGAAACGCACCTAGAGAGGTGATTGGGAGTCTCAAGAGTATGTCGAGGATGATCTCTTCTGGAAGGTTCGGCATTGCCATTTGGGAAGCTTCAACTGATGGCGGTTAATCATTCTATTCCATTCCATTGCACTATCTCAACTTTATTTTTATTTTTATTTTCAAGTAAGTGAAAGTTTGGAAAGACTAAATAAGTGCATTTTTTGATTTTTTATGAAATATGGGTTGGATTTGGGTTAGGTTTGAAGTGATGTGTTAGAGAGGTGATGTGACTTAAATGAGATGATGTGACTTAAATAGGATAGTGATTTTTTGACTTTTTGAATTTTTTGGAAGATGCCAAACAAAACTTAAGATTAGTTTCTTACAAAATTAAATAGAATAAATTATTAAATATATAATAAAAATTTAATTATAGAATAAATATATGAGATAAAATTTTAGCTCAAATGAGTAGATTTTTTGTTATTATTTTTTATTAGAATGGAATAATGTGATATCACACACTAATAATAACATGATATCACCGTTAATTTTTTTTTTTTTTTCATTTGTAAAAATTTATTTTTAGATCTGTGCATAACACAAGCTATTTTTATGATGAATTTATATTTCCAAAATGTAAATCTTATAAAAAATTATCATACTTGGTTTGATTTTTTTAAAATTATTTTTAGACAGGTTTTTATTTGTTTTAATAATTTTTTTTTATATTTTATTCAAATTATTCTTATTATTTTACAATTTCTTTTTGGGATTTTCATTGATAAGTCCAATTTAGAAGTGTTTTAACCCAAGAAGTCCATGAAGGAATTTTTTAACCCATTTAGTCCCATGTATGTATAGTTTTATTCCATAAAATCTAACTACTATTTCAAGTTATCATCAAAATGAAATGAGTCCCTCCTATGGATATGAAATTGTGAATGGATTCATGGATCCCTCTTGTCAATGTTATTGTTAATGTTAATATGTTAATGTTAATATGTCAATGTGAATATTCACATTGTCAACGGGCCGGGCCGGGCTGGGCCCGCTCCGACCCGGGCCCGGGTTTCGGGTTGCCCACGGGTCATGGGCCAATTTTACACTCTTGTCAATGTTATTGTTAATGTTAATATGTTAATGTTAATATGTCAATGTGAATATTCACGTTGTCAACGGGCCGGGCCCGCCCCGGCCCGGGGCCGGGCTTCGGGCTGCTCACGGGTCACGGGCCAATTTTACACTCTTATCAATGTTAATGTTAATATGTCAATGTGAATATTCACATTGTCAACGAGCCGGGCTAGGCCCGCCCTGGGCAACGGGCGGGTTTCGGGCCGCCCACGGGCCACGGGCCAATTTTACACTCCTATCAATGTGAATGTTAATATGTCAATATGAATATTCACATTGTCAACGGGCCGGACCGGGCTCGCCCCGCGTCGCCCACGGGCTTCGTGCCACCCATGGGACACGAGTCAATTTCACACTCTTATCAATGTGAATGTTAACATGTCAATGTGAATATTCACATTGTCAACAGGCCGGGTCGGGCCCACCCCGGGCCGTGGGCTAGTTTCGAGCAGCCACGGGGCGCGGGCTAATTTTATACTCTTATCAATGTGAATGTTAACATGTCAATGTGAATATTCACATTATCAACGGGTCGGACCGGGCTCGCCCAGGGCAGCCCACGAGTCACGGGCGGGTTTCGGGCCGGCCACAGGCCGCGGGCTAATTTTACGCTCATATCAATGTGAATGTTAACATATCAATGTGAATATTCACATTGTCAACGAGCCGGGCTGGGCCAGGCCCGGGCTTCGGGCTGCCCACGGGTCATGGGCCAATTTTACACTCTTGTCAATGTTATTGTTAATGTTAATATGTCAATGTGAATATTCACATTGTGAACGGGCCGGTCCGGGCCCGCCCTGGGCGGCAGGCTGGTTTCGGGCCGCCCACGGGCCGCAAGCCAATTTTACATTCTTATCAATGTGAATGTTAACTTGTCAATGTGAATATTCATATTATCAACAGGCCGAGCCGGGCCTATTTTTTTGGCCTGTGGGCCGGCCCGGCCCGACTCGAATTTTTCCGGGCACCCACGAGGATCGACATGGGCCGGGCCCCTACACATTGATGATAGAACATTTACGTTGACGGTGTGAACATTCACATTAAGGGTATTTTGGTAATTATGTCACCCATAGGACTTATTGAAATATAAGAAAATAATGTGAACTAAATGGAACATAAGTAGATGAAAAGGGTATTTTGGTCTTCTTATCTCAAATTGGACTTAATAGAATAGTCAAAAAGAATATGGGTTGGATGGAATAAAGCTCTTAGAAAATGAATTTATCAAAAAAGTTTCCTTTTTTTTATTATATTTATTCGGTTAAATTAAAGATTCTAATAATGAATAGTAGTAATTTCTAGTATTGTAAGGGCATTTAATAGTTTAAACAAATCTCAGGGATGCATTTATAATTTATCTAAAATCAAAATATTTATGTTTCATAATGACTAAGAATATTTACATTATTACGAAAAACCCTTCACTCAAATTAGTACCACTAATATTGGTAAATATATGACCAAAGAACGGGGTAAAACGGGAAGTCAAATTATAAGTTATAATTAGTAAATTACAAAATAAGAAGAAAAAAAAAACCTCAAGGGTGCATTTATAATTTACCCAAAATCAAAATATTTATGTTTCATAACTGACCAAGAATTTTTGTATAATTATGAAAAAATCTTCATCCAAATTAGTGTCACCACTATTGGTAAAAAATACAAAACAAAAGGGTACAATGGAAAAATTAAAGTGCAAGTCTCTAATAGTAAATAATTTCAAACAAAAGGGTAAAATTAGAGAAAAAAAAGGTAGAAAGTGCTTCTTATATATATATATAGATATATTAATTTAATGATTATATTCATATATTTTAATGATATTTATATGTGAAAAAACTGATGGATACTTATCATTTCCAGGTTAATTTAATTTTTAATGTCCTACTCTAATTCATATAATAAAGTAGGACGGTTTTTGAATTTTTAATATATTTTTGTCCTACTAGGACATTTAGATGGTTTACTGTTCAAATTATAAAATAATGACTGAGATATATTTTTTAAAAAATGTCATACATGTACATTTTCTACTTTTCTGTTTCTCTTTCTTACTTTTTCCGTTTCTCACCAATTTTTTCATGATCTCATGATCCCACCTTCTTCTTTCTTCCCTCTTTTCTTTTTATTCTTTGTGCTTTCTCCCATTTTTATTTTTTTCTCTATTTGTTTATTTTTTTTATTTTCTCCTTTTTGTTCACTTATTTTTATTCACATCATACCTTCAAGTACGTCTCATATACTAGTAGTTAAATAAAACAAGATTTAGGATTATTTTGAGAAGTATAAAATAAGTTGACTTTTTTACTTATTACAAAAATATATACAAAAAATAAAGAGATAATGTGATTCAAATAAATTAAAAAATTAATAAAATTAAATTATAAATCACTTTCCAAAAAGACCTTAATCTGTTGTGGAGCTCAGAAGATCTAATAATGTTCAAAAAAAGATCTAATAATATACTTTCTGTAATTGGAGAAAAGCATTCACATCATACCTTCAAGTACAAACATATACTAGTAGTTAAATAAAACAAGATTTAGGATTATTTTGAGAAGTATAAAATAAGTTGACATTTTTACTTATTACAAAAATATATACAAAAAATAAAGAGATAATGTGATTCAAATAAATTAAAAAATTAATAAAATTGAATTATAAATCACTTTCCAAAAAGACCTTAATCTGTTGTGGAGCTCAGAAGATCTAATAATATACGGTGTTCAAAAAAAGATCTAATAATACACTTTCTGTAATTGGAGAAAAGCCTAAACAAACAATAATTTATACTCAAATGTAATTATGTAATTTATATATATATATATATATATAATCATTATATTGCAAATAACTATGTAATAATTATAAAATTTTTAATCATGTTTTATTTATTATTTCACTGAATTGCATGATTTAGTGATTCCAGCACTATATGTGTGTAAAAATAATTTGAGAAGTATATTTAAAAAATTTCCTCCATTTGCAACAGTTCAATGAAGAAAGTAAAATTTCACCATCTCTATAGGGAAATAACTAATGAAATGAAATAAAACCATCTCCATTTGTTACTTCATATAAAGATTGAGATTTGACAATTTAAACAAACTTCATAATCTAACTACTATTTCAAGTTATCATCAAAATGAAATGAGTCCCTCCTATGGATATGAAATTGTGAATGGATTCATGGATCCACCAATATCAAAGAATTCACTTACTGTGAAATTCAACACGACAATTTGTCGTGTTTTGAAGAGGCTAACAAATTTGACTGAACCAGAAAAAAAGGAGGAACAATTCAACTGGAATCATCCAAGATCTTTGCCCTTCTTTGCCAACCACAGTAATATAGTGAGACAACAGTAAGGCAAATACTGCTCTCTTATACTTCATAATAGAAAAAAAGAACAAATAAAAAAATGACACAATAACCAATCCAAGCTGGAAATAGCACTTGCAAAGCATAACATAAATGAATATCATAATTACACTAATGTAAGAAAATTCACATTTATGGGCACCACAAAACATTATGGAGTAACATCAACAGAGAAAAAGTACAGGCTTCACTCAAGCTTATCTGACTAAGACATTTTCCGTTCCATAGCTTGGAGGCAAAACGAGCGCTCTAGGAATTGGATGGCTCATCCAACCTACATCGCTTTGCCATTGAAAAATCTGATTCAGTCTCGGCTTCACATGCTTCAGTTCGTGCTTGGAGAGACCTAATAAGAACATTGGTTAATAAAGGAACACTTTCGATTCAGGAAACAAAATGCAAAAGGAGGTTTTATAATCATTACGGTAAGCTGCATTTGCAATTGACCAAAAACGAACAACAAAAATGGACATGACAGGCTACCCACACAGTCAAACAAAACATAAGCTTTGCCAAATATAAAAAACTTGAAAGGCCTTGAATTGTGTCAATTCCACTTGAACCCAGTTAAGCCAAAAATCTATGTTCAAAATATATAAACAAACTCCATACAAGACCTCAAATTAAACTCATACAACTAACATCAAGGAAAACGGAACAACAATGCAGCAACATAGAGATATATACAAGTAAAATGGAATGATAAGAGAAGGGTTAAGTTCGTTTCAATCATGGTACCTATCCCGTAGTGATCTTTTACGTGATGATTGCCATTGGCACTTGATCATATTGCTGCAATTGAGTGAAACAAGGCGCTCCACCACAGAAGAAGTTGATGTATCAACTTGAGTAGGACTGCCTCAAACCACTAGTTCCTTACATTTTTTCTCTTCAGGGCCGAAGATCACTAGCTTCTTTTGTCTCACGCCCAACAAAACTTTGCCAGTCCTTGGTAAGCACAAAGGTTTCCACAAACAGAAATCACCATAATTGATTGTAAATTTGGTCCGGGAATCCCCCGCACCATACTCTTTCATCACCCAAACATTGTGACAATCACCACTGTAAAAATCAAGGACACAAAGGCACCCTCCAAGAACATTGAGCTTTAGTTGTATGATTAAGTCATCAACAGGAGCTAGACATGGCACACTACAAAACCTGGAAGGACCTAATAGGAACATTGTTTAATAAAGAAATACTTTCATTCAGGAAACAAAATGAAAAAGGAGCTTCACAATGATTCGGGTAAGTTGCAGAAAATTTTGTTAATTATGCTTAATTACTTACATGTATCCCTATCATCAGTTTATTTTAACAAATGTATAACTGGAAGAATAAATGAAAGTGCAAATGAAATCATGGCAAAATGTAAGAATGGATTTTTATTCAAGAAACAAAGAAGAGTATAAATAATCACAACTTTGCATTTAAAATATAAAACATGTTGTCTCAACTCAACCACTAGCCTCTGGGCATCTGTAGTTCTCAATAAATTCAAGGACCAACAAAAAATTCTGCCATTTCTTTTAACCGCCTCTAGGAAACTTTCCCTGAAAATATTGATGAGTCTTTGTCATATTGTTATTGTTTGCAAAAGCCAATAAAGCATCATATCCTCACCAACAGAACCATATAGGACATATATATTATTTGGTGTTGGAAAGAAATATATGAGATGGAAAGAAAGATCAGTAAAAAGAAGACGATAACCTCAATCATCTTCAAAATCTAACCAACTATGCAACATGGTATGGCAGATTCATTGGCAATTGACAAAAATGAAGATGATAACATGAATCATCTTCAAAATCTAACAAGCTATGCCAGGTGAAATGGAAAGAAAGAGTGATAAATGAAGATGATAACCTCAATCATCTTCAAAATGTAACAAACCAAGCCACGTGGGTCACAGATTCATTAGCAGTTAACCAAAAACAAACAACAAAATAGGTATGACAAGTTACCTGCACAGTCAAACTAAACATAAGCTTTGCCAAATGTAAACTCAAAAGCCCTTGAATTGTGTCAATTGTACCTTATTTTGTTTATGTTGTGGTCCCTCTTTGTCTGTGAGCATTGATGACAAGCACACCTAAGTTGAGAATTTGACCCCAGCCACTCGAACCCAGTATGATCGAAATATATAAACAAACTCTAAACAAGATGACAAATTAAACTCTCACCGTTCTACTTATTATCAAGGAAAAAGAGACAACCATGCAGCGACATAGACAGGTAAAAATAAAATGAAAGATAAAAAACGGTTTAGTTCAATCATCCATGTTACCTATACAGTAGTAATCTTTTATGTGATGCTTGGCATATTGGGAGAAACAAGGGTCTCCATGTAAGTTTCTGCATCATAATAATCTGGAATGCCTTGAACCACTAGTTCCTTAAATTTTTTCTCAAGTGGATTGCAAAGGACAAACTTATTTCCACTTGCCTCAAACAAAAACTCACAAGTGCTTGATAAAGACAACGGTTTCAACCAAGTAAAATTAGCGTAATTGATGGTAAATTTGGTCCAAGAATCCACGACACCGTACTCTTTCATCACCCAAACATCATCACAACCACAATGGCGAGGAATAAACACACAAAGGCAGCCTCCAACAACACCAAGTTGTTGAACAACAATAGAGTCATCAACAGAACCCGGACACGGCACAATATGAAAAGTTTCATCCGCTAAATCAAGTGAAGCAATTACACTGGATGTATTCGAACCCACAACACTCGTAGTAACCCAGTGAAGAGCCCCATCAAGAAGAATCCCCGGTGAAGGTTCGTCACGTGAATGGTCAAAAGGAGAGTCCCCAATCCTTCTCCACGAATCGGTGCTTAAGTTATACACACTAACTATATTATCAGCGCAATCAACCTCATAGTCATAGTCATGATGAGAAATTCTGACAACTTTGTAATCATGACTGGATGAATCATAACCAAACCCATAACTATCTAAACAATATTCAGAGTTGACTGAAAATGAGGATTTGGGTAATTTTCTAGATTGTCTAGTTGATGGGTTCAATAAAAAGCAATCGAAAAAGTCATCGAGCATCAATAACAACCCATCAAACGAACCCCAAATCTCCATACAATCACTTGGGCTTTGATTTGGTGAGAATTTGAGGTGCAAAGCCTCGAAATGATCGCGGAATTCGAAGGATTTGAGATCGACTGAGTGGAAATCGCAAGGTTCTGAAAGGAGAATGAGTCGGTCGTGTTGGTGTTTTTCGTTGGTGGTGTTGCGATTAAGGTGGGTTTTGATGAAATAAGGGTCGGAGATTAGAGAGAGCCATGGCTTCGAAACACACCTGAATCGGCAGAGGGAGGTGATTGGGAGTCTCAAGAGTATGTCGATCATGATCTCTTCGGGAAGCTTCACCATCATCGCAGTCTGTCTGGGTCTGCGTCTGGGTCTGTGTCTGTGGAGAGCTCATCATATCACATCTGCTTTCTATTTATCCTGGGATGATTCTCCTATTTCCATGTACCAAATTCTATCAGATCTTATGTTTCACTTAGTACACGTCGATCATTTCAAAAAAATATCTCGTCATATTTATCATTCAAATCATACTCCTAACCTTTGAAGCTTGTTTGGTTGGGTTCTCGTTAAAATACTCCTAGTCAATTAAAATAAAACGTTCCAATCATGTCTGGTTACTTCTTATTTATTTATTTACTTTTTGTCATTAATATTATTAGCATATCATCCGTGCAATGTATGAATTATATTTATAAATTGTGATTTTTAATTTTTTTTAAAAGTTTTTTTTTCTTTTTATTATATTAAATTAAAGTTTAATATTTTGATAATAATCATATGTGTTAAACTTTTCAAGGAATTAAATGTCTTTTTTTTATTATATTAAATTAAAGTTTAATATTTTGATAATAATCATATGTGTTGAACTTTTGAAATTTTTTTTTTTATGATTGTTCTTAATGAATTAAAGTGTTATTATGAGGGATAATAATCGTATATGTTGGGACTTTTCAAGGAATTCATATGTGTTGGATTTCAAAATTTTTTTTTTATACTTGTTCTTAATGCATTAAAGTGTTATTATGAGAGTAAACTTGGGAGTTGGGAGAAGTTAATTAATGCTAATATTTTTTTTTTAAAATCAAAAAATCAAAAAATTTAGATTGAGATATTAGAGCTCCCAGAAGGATTGAGGTTAAAAATCCCCTTTTGCTTAATATATAGTATAGATAGATTGCCACCGCCACTCTCATCTTCTACCATTATCGGCCATCATTATCAATTTATCTAATGTTTTGGTAGCGTTGGGTAACATTTACGTTTTTTATTTATATTTATAAAAATTTTATAAATTGATTTTTATTTATTTTTAGAAAAACATAAATTATAAATGTGTTTGGTTTGAACAAAATATTTAAAAAATTTTAAAAACATAAACTAAAAAATATGTTTATTCAGGCTTAAAATATTTATATTATTTATGATAATGGGATCACACACATTATAATTGAAAAAAATTAATTAAAAAAAAATATTTGGAAAAAAATTAATTGGAAAAAAAAATATTTGAAAAAAAATTAATTGAAAAAAAAATGAAAAAAATAATTGAAAAAAAATTTAATTGGGAAAAAAAATATTTGAAAAAAAAACTTAATTGAAAAAAGATTAATTGAAAAAAAATTATTTGAAAAAAAAATATTTGAAAAAAAAATTCAAAATAAATTATTTGAAAAAAAGTTAATTGAAAAAAAAAATTAAAAACTGAAAATGTAATCTCATTTTTTGAGTTTACGTTTTTTTCTTAAATTTATAAACTGAGACAACCATTTATAAACAAAAAAAATTATCAAACAAGTTTTTATGACAATTTTTAAAATTTTTATAAATATAAATTAAAAACTGAAAATTGAAAACGAAATAGTTACCAAGCAGACCCTTAGTGTTTATTTTTGCTATTCATTATTATTTTTTAAATCTTAGGCATCACAACCTTTATGTCTATACAGTTCCATTAACCATGAATATAAAATCTTACAGAGTTAGAGAAGAAATTAAAGAGGATAAAGTTGAAGAAGAAATTAGAAAAGATGGCGTCAGAGAAAGAGTAGAGGAGGTCGCTACCACCAATGGAATGGTGGGAGAACAGAGCTTAGCAATTAGAGTTTTGGTTAAGAAAGATAAAGTTATTTTAGTAATTTTATTGTAAGACAAAATGGTTATAAAAAATGATTCATTAAATACATGTATAAAGAGTGTTGGTGTATATAAATAGAAATATCCTTTATTATTCATGTTTCTCCGATTTTTTCTATTTTATTTTTGATAAATTATACCTACACTCTTTTGTTTTATTTGTTTGTTTTGTTTTGTTTTTTTATTTTTATTTTTTGACATCTCTCTAGTTTGTTCAAATAATATTGACACCCCTACATTATCTAAAAATATCATTACTCTCACTTTCTTTAAAATTTTGAATAACGCTTACTTTTTGTCAATCTACCGTTTGTTAACTTAACATATATAGTTGACGGCACCAAATTTGTGAAGTGTAAATAAATTTGATATATTTAAGCTCCAAACCTCCATATGCAATAAATTTGGTAAAACTAGACTATCACCAAAGGGAAGTAACCAATATGTCAATTGCTACTTTATTTATATATAGATTTGAGATTTGATGATCAAAGCAAATTTTATTATTTAATTACTAATTTTTAGTAATCTTATTTGGTGATTTTTTCCCAAGTAATATTCAGTGTGTTTGATTTTAATTTTTTGAATTCAGTTTTTTGAAAATTAAGTTTTTTATTTTTCGTATTTTTTTTGTTTTTGGTGAATATTTTTAAAATTTTAAGCAATTTTTACTTTTATAGATGTACCTTACTTAGATGCATCTAAATAGTAAAATATTTGTTAAAAAATATTTTAAAAAATTAATAAATACACAAAAATACAAAAAATGTATTTAATTTTTGTATTTTTTTAATATTTTTTGTATTTAGTGAATTTTTTAAAGATTTTTTTTTACAAATATTGTACTTGTTAAATGTATTTACGTTAAGTGTGTCTAAAAATTAAAAAAATTACTTAAACTATTAAAAAAATTCATTGAAAACAAAAAAATATGAAAAATAAAAATTTAGAATTTTTTGGAAACCAAAATCAAATAAGCTGATTAGGTTTTTAAAAAACTTATCAAAATTTTACACAATAATTATATATGCGTAGAACTCAAACAAAATGAGAGTCACACTTATAAAATACAAGTATTGCGTAAAATATTTTATAATTTTTTAAAGTCTCAACGTTTTCCCACTGAATTGTAATTTTCATTTTAATTTTCGGCAAACCATCAAGAACTTCTAGGGATATTTGTTAATTAAATTTTTTAATTGTACTTGTTGAATTTTGTTTCCTGCCTTATTTCAAAATTAGAGTAGCTACTAAGGCCAGCTCGACTAATTTGCACTACAGCACAGTACTGACATTGGCATAAGCCAAAATGTGCCCTTTTATACTTCATAGCCTGAAAAAAAATTCAACCAGAATAAAAAAAAGAAAAAGAAGACATACACAGACACCAATCCAAGGTGGAGAAAGTACTTGTACAACATAACATAAACAACAATGATAGAGATCATTAAAAGTGATGTTTTAAAGCACTACTAATGAGTTGACGCTCACTTTGTTTTAAAAAAAAAAAAAAAAAAAAAAAAACAAACAAACAAACAAACAAACAAACAAACGCCACATCATTAATAGTAGCACTAATTAGTGCTCTCACTCATTTTCCTAACATAAATATAAAAATGACACTAATGTTAACAAATTTACATTACTGCAGACACCACGATATAACATCAACCCAACAAAAAAATAGAAGTCAAGCCTCGTCTGGGAAGATGGTTTGTGGCTATTTTAACCACAAAAGACAAAATAGGCTATTTTAGCCACAATAAACAAAACATCACATCCAATCCATAATCATTACACTATTCTTTCACAAAAAAAATCAAAAAAGCTAAAAAGCCCTTCCCAAACTAAATTTTTTAGCCAATAAACAAAATATCACATCCAACCCATAATCATTACACTATTCTCTCACAAAAAAGTTAAAAAAGTCAAAAAACTAAAAAACTCTTCCCAAACCAAGCCATCATCCTTTCCACACACATCATGCTTCCATCTGTGCTTGGAGGGACCTAATAGAAACATTGTTTTAATAAAGAAACACTTTCATTCAGGAAATAAAATAAGTGAGGAGTTTCACAATGATTATGGTAAGTTGTAGAAATTTTTGTTAATTATACTTATTTACTTACATGTATCCTATGATCAGTTTATTTCAACAAATATATAACTGAAAGAATAAATGAAAGTGCAAATGAAATCATTGCCAAAATGTAAGAATGGATTTTTATTGAAGAAACAAAGAACAAATGCGTAAAAACATTCACAAAAAAATATAAAACATTATTGGTCCTGTTTGGTACAACTTAATTTCAGCTTATTTCAGCTTTCAGCTTAATTTAAGCTATTTTGATGTGTTTGGTTTAGCTTATAGCTTATAGCTTATAGCTTTGTGGAAGTCAGAAAACAGCTTATTCTTTGAGTGAGGCAGGATATGCTTTAAGAATAAGCTGGAAATCAGCTTAAGTTGAAAGTTATAAGTTATAAGCTGTTTAGGCATAAGCTATAAGTACTTTTTCACAGCTCTACCAAACGGGGCTATTGTCTCAACTAGCCTCTGGGCACCTGTAGTTCTCAATAAATTCAGGGACCAATAAAAAAAATTCTGCCATTTTTTAAACCGGCTACGGGAACTTAAAATATTGATGCAATGTCTTGTCACATTGTTATTGTTTTCCAAAGCCTGTAAAGCATCCTATCCTGACCAGCCCAACCATATAATTTGGTGTTGGAAAAAAATATACGAGATGGAAAGCAACATTGATAAAAAGGTAAATTACACTAACAATTTTTATGAAAAATGCTTGGGAGCACTAATTAGTGCTCCCACTAATTAGGTGACAGTGGGTCTCGTCATTAATGATGTGATGTTTTGATCTTGGAGTTGTATTTTTTTTTTTTAACTTTTTTAATGCATTAGTACTATTAGTGGTGATGTTTTTAGTGGGATGAATCATTGTTGCAATTTTTATAATTTGAAATTTGTGTCATTTTAATTATTAATTTTTTAATTGTAATATATTTGATGTTAAATTTTAAATTTTATTTTAAATAAAGATAATTGAAGATATTATTACTCAATTTGAAGGATAAAGTCATCAATTTGATAAAATATAAATTAATTTGACAAAAATAAATGTCAAAATGAAAATTTTAAAATATTTCTACCCACCAAAATAAAATTATGTGAAATTGATAAATTTTTTACATATTTATTTATTTATTTATTTTATCAAATTAATTTTTATGATGTGTTTGGATGATGATTATGTAATGAGTGGCTGTTTTTATTTTCATTAAATTAGTTTTTATTTTTTCATAAGTCAAATATTGGGATAATTTTGATATCATTATTAAACTAATTTATTAAATCAAAAAATCCAAAACTAAAAACACTTAATATATTAAAAATATTGATTATACATTAAAA